TTACATAGACGATCCCTACATGAGATATAAGTATAATCTTCTAAACAAAAAAATGTGATAAGTGTAATTAAGTTAAACAAAATATAATATATTCTAGATACTATTAAGTGTCACATTGATCATATAATATACACTTATTTTGCAACACTATAACTACTTAACCAACTTAAATGATGAATTTATACTCATATATAATACAAAGTTGTTAAAATGTTCAAATGTCATCACTGGAACTTTTTGTGGGCTTAATCCGGAGGAAGGATAGAAAAAACTAAAAAATTCATATTTTCGGACAAATCTTGACCAGACTCAATACAAGGATCATGCGGAGTGGATCAAGCACCAGCTGAGGCCTCTGCTCAGCGCCCAAGCCACGCTTAGCCAAGGATGACCCACACTCAGCGTAATCCCTGTGTTGAGCATATACAGCCAAAGATAAAACATTTAATCTCTATACCTTATACGCTCAGTGCACCTACCTACGATTAGTACAAATGGGAGATGCGCATAAGACATATGTTGCGCCCAACATATGCCACATTAAGATTTAGGGTATGTGGTGCATATATTTTTTCAGTCCAAACTAGATTTGTGCACGTTTTGCACACTCAACACATGCCACGCTAATCCTCCATAGTTTTCTTTTCAAACATTCACCTAATATTGGTTATTGCTTTTCTGGCTGTTAGAGTTACCAAATCTAGAAATAGATCCTTCATTCATTTGGAAAAGGTATGAACGATATTTCTTACCCATCTCTAATTAAATCTTCTCCTCTTTCTTTTATGATAATTCTTAGGAGTTCTGAATGGTAGCAACCATATAATATATTATCACTCACCATATTTATGGTTATAATTCTTGCACAAATTTCACTTTGAAGTAGGTATCTGATTCAATGAGACTATGTCATTTTATTCGTGGCTCGTTGTGGTTTTTACTTTGTTTGTACAATTTTTACAGTACTATAAAACATATGAAAGATGACAACCTAGTACATGATCCAATTCAATAATATCATTGATGACAAAAATTAATTTTTTTTAAATCCTTTATTAAATTTATTCAATAATTTTAAGATGTTTCATTATTTCATATTTAGCAAAAGAGATTATTTGTTCTTCTTATGTTGTTTTTGGCTCCAACAACCCATTTCAATTTGAGTAATATCACTGTAAAAGATGGCAAAAATGATGTTCTTTCTAACGATGACAAAAGTTAGCTTCATTTTGAAAGATAATATTTTGGTTGTTCTTGAAAAACTGATCAAAGTTATAAGGATAAAATAGCTAAGAAATTAAACCATTGGATTTAACATGATTTCTTATGCAATAGTTGAGTGGTATTTTTTATGACTTTTATGATTATTACCAGTTAATTTTAAGATGAAGTGAAAAAGAAATTTGTCACACAGTTGACGATGAATAAAAAGTATAGTATTTGATGTTATTTCAAATATAAGATGACGAATGACAAGTCCGTAGAAACCTAAGGTATTAAAATATCTCATAAAATATTATTTAAAGGTATAGCTTTAGATGAATAGTTTTAAATAGCTGTTTTTATAGACAAACTCTCCCTTGATTGGAAGAACTTTTATGTGAGTAGTCTAATTACTGAGTGCACATTAAGGAAGAGGCACAAAAATAGGATTAGAAAGATGAAGTGCTTGTTCTTTAAAATAAAAACCTTTAAAATAAATTTGCAAGTAGAGAATCACCTGTCCCAAAATGGTGTTCCCAACTCTGTCCCAATCAATAACATTATGCCCGTCATTTAAAAATCTATATAACTCTCTACTAAAAAAATATTTATTTCCGTGATTTTTCATTTCCATTCTCTGATTGGCTAAAATAAAGTTGGGAACACCATTTTGGGACAGATGATCTCCATACTGTTCCACAAATCTTTCAAGAATCAGAAACATAATGTGAATAATAAGCACAACTATGACTATAATAAGAATTGGAACAAGGGTCTCAACTAAAGCAACAACTTTCCATTATAAGTAACACTAGTTCACTCTTCTTTTGCCAATTATGGGAAATATTCTGGATGAAACATTCATTTAGAACTTTACAATCCAAACACGTTTTTTCTATTACTTTGAAAATTTGTTTATGGACCACCCATTATGAACTATATATGGTACAAAAAAATATGAGATAGCGAAATATATATATCCAAATCCAGCTTAGTTCATTTGATGTAGAAGCTGAGTTGTGGTCCTTTGTGGACCTAATCAACAAATTTATTTGCTTAAAGTGAAACAAGACACATTATGAAATTTACTTCATATCTTAGTCATTAACTTTAGAGAAATTTAATGATTTAGATCTACTCACTAATTCAAACTATTGAATTTCCCTAGAATTGATAGCTAAGATGTGGAGGTAAATTTTTTAAACTTACTAGTAAGTGGATTCCCTCCCTTATTTATATGACTTCCTTTTACAATCAAAACATCACTTTATTAAAAAGCACTATTGGATGGAGAGTTTAAAGAATGAAATGAAGAATAGTGTGAATTCGAGTCTCACAAATAGTAAATTTAAAAAAATAATAAAATAAAGTTATAGGTTGATTTGATGATTAAAGAGAAAATGTTGAATGAAGGAAGATCAAATGTTTATGCCTCATTTACAACAAATATTCACATATTAACCTTTCCTGATAAAAATAGAAAAGAATCCTAAGCAACATAAATAGAATTTTGAAAAGCTTAGAGTGTGGAGTTAATTAATCAAATTACTATACCGAAAAAATAAAACCAAATTATGGATTATGGCTGTCCAGACTTGTGAAAGGGAGGGTGTGAGGTTATTAATTAAATAAAAGTTAATGATTGTGATATGGTAATTTATCTATCACAAACTTGATTATAGGAAATTTCTGTGATACCCTTTGGAAATTTATGTTATATTCATTCTAAAGTTATAATTATTGAAGATTGAAAAAACGTGGAGAATATTAAGAAAAAAAATAATATCATGAGATAAGCTGATAAGGTACTAATAGTATTTATTTATACCAGATTTCACATTGTTAACTGAATAATTAATTTTCCATTTTCCTTGAGTGAGTCACAAGAGCATTAACAAAAATTGAAAACAATTGAATTTTCTAAATTGTTTACTCCAAAGATGGCTTAGTTAGAACAGAATATTTTAAATATAAGAGGCAGGTGATTATCATAGGAGTATATTCATTATAAAATTCTCACAGTTCTTTGAATAGTGTGTCACTTCATAATTAATGAGAAAATATGAATTTAGTTTTATTACCTTTCTTTTAACTTATTTAGGACTATATTCATTATAAAGTAGGAATTATTTACTCCATATCTTAGTCATCAATTCTATGGAAATCTAATGATTTGACTAAGATGTAGAGTAAACTTAAAAAACTTATTATTTGAGTCAATGGATCCCCTCCCTTGGTTATAAAATTCCCAGTTCTTTGAATAGTGTGTTACTGTTCAGTATCCATTTGTATTTTAATGTAAGAGTTGATGAGGATTAAGAAAGAATTAAACTCTTACAAAAGGGAGATATCAAACGCTATTAGTACTAGAATTGATATTATTAATGTGTTATTATTTACCTTCCATCAATGATACACATTAAAGAGAAAGACAAAATAGGAAAGTAAAGACATCATAATTGGTTTAAACTTTGAAGCATCTTTCTTACGATTTAATATATTTGTATTAATACTTTACGAGTCATTAAAACGCGTCAAGGTATTGATAGTGGTGTGCTTAGAGTTCATTCGATAATTCACTAATTAAATTATATACCTATAAAAATAGATATACATTAATATATATCGGGGTTGGGTAACTCCGAACATGAAATCCAAAACCCGAACCCGAATTAAGCGGGGTCGGAATCCGTCGAGTTTCGTTTAATCCGAACCCGAAAAATTCCCGAACAAAACATATATTTTTTTCATATATAACTTAATATATGTGATTGATGATTACCTACCAAACTTTTCATTGGACAGACACTTTCATCGTACAGCAAGAAACAATTAACAATGGCGCATAGCAATTTTTCTGAACATAGACTTCTTCACATATCACATTCACACTCCAATCATCATAAACTGATTCATAAATTCCCAAATCTCTCAAACTCTTAACTACACTGCACAAAAACTACAACAAATGGAATCAACTATATTGAATTTGAAATCACCACCATCCCATAATTTTCTCAAATATTCTCCTCCTACCCTTTTCACCATTAACCCAAACAACACCAATTCCATCACAATCACTCCCCCTTTTGCCAAAAAAAAGTTCTTTTTCCAAAATCATGGCTTTAGATACACCTGCAGCAGCCCCTATCACCTTTGGGTTCAAGAACTTGATGGAAACTTTCACTGTTGATGTGAATAAAGCAGAGAACAGGCCATTGAATGTGCCTTTAATAGCTCCATTTACCATTGCTTCATCAAGATTGGAGAAGGTAGAGAATGTGGCTATTAGAGTTGAATTGAGCAATGGTTGTGTGGGATGGGGTGAGGCACCAGTTTTGCCATTTGTGACTGCAGAGGATCAGTCAATTGCAATGGCTAAGGCTGGTGAGGTATGTGGGTTTTTGAGGAGATTGCCTGCACTGACTTTGGGTTCTATGTTGGAGGAGATTGAAGGTGTTCTTCCAGGGCATCAATTTGCTTCAGTAAGTGACATTAATATCAATCTTAATCATACTTCATCATTATTTTTGTCTAGTGCTTGTGATGCTATTTGTTTTAATCTTTCACTGCTTATGTCACAAATTGTCTTACATTCTTCACTCAAGGTTCTGAATTCTGGTGCATAGCTATGAAGCACCACACGTCAATAACCTTTATGTATTGTGTCCGATATGTATATGATACCGATACTTCGTGGATATGTACCTATAGTGTGTCGAAATTAATTTTTGAAAAATAAATAATTTATAAATCCGATACTTCCCACATACTCTCCGATACTTTTAAAATATTTTTCCGATACTTCATAGACACTCAAACTAACATGTCATGGCATTTTAAGAGAGAAAAACATAACACATTCAATTAAGTACAAGAGAGACATAATATTTAATCTATCAAGTGAACTTGTAGCGATAGAAAAAAGACAACATGTGTATTGCATAGAGAACGAATAGGAAATTCATATGTATAATGTTGATCATCGATTAAACGGGATTGATAATGTTCCTATTTGTCGGTACTAAGTAAAG